ATTTTGACAACCACCCATATCTTCCGCACAGTCCGTCCCAGCGGTGGCATCGCGCCCAGCGCTTCGAAGGCCGGATGCTTGGCATTCTGAGGATAGGCCACCCTGGGGTTTAGGGTCTAGGGGTTTAGGGTTTAGGGTGGTCAATAAGGAATGAAGCTGTAGGGTGTAGGAAAAAACCCGTCCAGACTTCCAGATGTTTGGTTTTAAATGGATTTTGGCAGATCGTAGCTTCGCAAACCTTGGGAAGCTGCAAGGTCCTAAACTCTCAGCTCTGAACCCTAGGCTCCCACATCCTACGCGGAGGTTTATGGCTAAATAAAGGTTGAGTAAACGTTCCCCGATCCAGAATACAATCAAGGTTTGGGGTTGCGGATTCAGGTTTTAATTGCCGCTACCCCTCGCTCTATTTCCACTTACAACCGCTCTGAACTTTGTTCCTGCAATCCCTACATCAGCCGCGCAACCCCGCAACCATGTATTCTTGAATTCCAAACCCTAAACCCTAAACCCCTAAACCCTAAACCCTAAACCCCTCCAATTCTGAAGTTGCAAGTGCCCAACTAGAAGCCCGTGAGTCTCCTTATGAGATGGTTTCTAGTTGGGCTTACTTCCTGGTTCTTAGTAGGGAATAAGGGTATATATGTATATATCTCATAGGCATTACATAGGGGTATATTCCCTGTTTCCCTAAACCCTAAATCTTATAGATATTTCCGTATAGGGAGTATGTTCCCACATTCCTTACTAAGACCCAGTAAGTTTAGGATTTTGGGTTCAGGGTTTTTGGAGAGCCTCCCTGCCACGTGGCGTTGTCAAATTTGCTATCCCCTGCAGGTGTTTATAGCATGGGTCTAGGGTTTAAGGTTTAGGGTACTGTAGCCCCATGATTCATAACTCCTTCCTTTTAAGGGCCTTAATATCAGGATCCCTATAGTATGATTCCTATCAACGAGAGGGGGTTTAACAATCAGGGGTCTACATTACCACGTCCGGCTACCCGGAGTCTTGGTGGCCCTTCTTTGTAATCAAGTGTTGTAACTAGACTTCTTATCATGTTCTAACCTTGCCGACTCTTTTTCAATTGGTTCTCCATTGTGGCCCTTAGCAAACTCAAGCTAGTTGAGCAAATCATGGGTGACTTCTATACAATTTAGTAGAAAGAGGCCAAGATTGAGAGCTGCCGGCTCTTCACGTGAGTGAACTCCTACATAGCAAGATACACAACCTCTACATGATCCCTTCCAAAAAATCCACTGCCAACCATATTGCGGTAGACAGGGCTCCTGAGGAATATGCAGGATTGCCGTTCTGGGGACCACACATAACACGCTACAACCCAAACTCCAAAACCTAAACCCTAAACCCCCAAACCCCTAAACCCTAAACCCCTAACCTTAAACCCCTAAACCCATAAACCCTGAACCCTAAACCGCTAAACCCTAAACCCTAAATGCGTCCATGATGTCGAGGGGCCTGCTCCGAACCGTTACTCTGAAAACTCATGGTCCGCCAAACTCTGAAGCCCTCTTCGCTAAGCCTTATATTCCCCCTTAAGGGGATGGAATATTGGCTATTTGGGGATCTTGTTATAATATCCCCAAAGCCACATTGAATCTATATACTTAAGGGGGACTATAACCCTTGAGATCCTAAACCCTAAAGCCCTCGACCCCAAGGCCTTAAATCATCAATCCTGAAGAATTTCCGTGTTTTCCATATTCTTCCGGTTTTTCCATAAGCCCAGTAACGTCTTTTAGGGGATCCAACTACCAAACCCTTGCCACCATGGGCTCAAAACATCTCACCGGGCCCAGTGCAGACCAGAATCTAGGATACCTCATTGCTGGGACTTCCAAAAAGGGGCCCCAGAGTTTTTGGGAGACTCCAATCCATACTGACTCCTACATATCCAGTAGAATTCTCTACAGCCCATTTAACCCCATATAACCCCCAAACCCCAAACCCTAAAAACCTGAAACCATTAAAAAAACCATAAAGCAACTAAAACCTTAAAATCCTAAACCCCAAAATCTTCCCAAATCTCCTTAAATAACCACTATTTACCCTAAATCCCCCGTATAACCCCATAAACCCCCAAAACCCCCATATCCGAACCCTTGCAAAGGGGCCCCAAGAGGTGAGGGAAGCCGAAACTTCAGCTTCTCAGGCCCTCTATCTGGAGGCTCCAGGGCTGTGAGGGGGTGTAGGGTGTAGGGGTTTGGGGGTTTATACAAATCTGGAGGCTCCAGGGCTTTGGGGGCTAGGGGGTTTAGGGGGTTTAAGGGTTTGCGGGTTTAGGGTTTAGGGGTTAAGGGTTGAGGAGTTAAGGTTTAGCCTTCAGCACTTTGTGAGGTTGACGCCCGAAAGTCATGGTGCATGCAGCATTTCCTGCAGCCCGCTTCA